GAGGGAAGGGGGGAGGGAGGGGGAAGGAGGGAGGGAGGGAAGGGGGGAGGGAAGAAGGAAGCTTTCTTGTCAATGGACACAGCTTCTCTCTAATTTAAACTTTCCCTATGGCATATGCCTATTGATTCTGGGAATAAGATTATACAAGTAAATGAATGCTTCATAAAATTGTCATTAAAATGCCATTATCAATAAATGGCTGGTATTTGATTTTAGAAACATGGGAACTAATTGTCTTACATTGTAAGTGTAAATTGATCCCTGACATAGACCATTTGAGGGGTAAACAAAAATTACAGCTTTTGAATGGGATTGACACAAAATGGTGTCACTTGAGCCATTTCTTTTTTTTTTTTAAAGAGTATTTATCAGTGTATATTACGTTTTGCTTGCATGTATGTCTGCGCATCATTTGTGTGTCTGGTGCCTGTGGAAGCCAGATGAGGGATGCCTTGGAACAGATGGTTGTGAGTTGCCATGTGAGTGTTGGGAATCAAATTTAGATCCTCTGGGAAGAGTAGCCATTGCTTTTAACCACTGCATTAACTCTCCAGCCCAAGGAAACCACTTCATTTAAACAGCTAAGGACTTTGTGGATGCTAAGAACATCAAATGGTTCTATTGTTTGTTCGTTTTGATCTTTGAGACAGAGTCTCTCTACTGAGCAAACATCAGATTGACCCACAGATGGTAAGATCTTTAGATGAAAGCAGTGGTTTTTCACTGGCCCAGAGGAAGGATGTCAGAGGCATTCATATGATAACAAGTGAATTAATGATTTAGAGAAGGTTGGACAAATGATGCAAGCTCAGAAGACTAAGACCTTCCTGACAGAAAGGTTCACCTCCACTGATTCAGTCTAATTGACTTTCCCAAATCAGTGTTTGGGGGAATTCTAGATTCCTTATGTTCCCACTGGTCCTTCCCTGAAAATACCTTAGTCCTGCTCTAGGGAGGGGTGCTTTTGCTGCATGGCCATAGGCAAATTTTGCTATGATGTTTAAAAATGGTTCAGTCTCAGCTTACCCAGGATTTCAGGTAAAAGCAGCTATGCTACTGTGGTACAAAATTCTTTCTACAGGCAAATCATCCTCACTGTCAAAGATCACTTTGGAACTGATGTTCCTGGAAAGGGTCAGCTTCCTTGCAAATGGTTCACAGTGAGAGTCCTGGCCAGGATTTCTCCCTCAGGACCCACATCCACAACGTTTGCCCTTTACACCTCCTGATTCCCAGTAGGATTCAGAAGAGACACAGCTGGAAGACACCACCCAGTCAGTTCAGAGAGTTATCTGTTAAAACATGGAGACGTTAAATCACACAGGTCTCTCTCCAAACACTGGTGCCATCAGGACTGAGAGCAGGCAGGATGGTCCCTGGAATGAATAAGCCAGGCTGGGGACCTGCACTCTGCTCTCAAGGAGCCTGTGGTGTGCTGTGGAAGGCCCAGTGAACAAGCTGCTGGAAAGAAGGGGCACATGGCATCTGCCCTCACACAGGACCCTAGGCAAGGCTGAAAGATCAAACAGAACTGTTGGAGTTGACTGAGAGAAGGTAGAGAAAGATAAAGCATTCTAGATGGAAATGAGTTCACAGGGCTGATATGGCTGGAGCAATGGCCTAGTATTCTGCATGACTGAAGTAGCCTATACAGCCCAGGGGAGATCCTGAGAGCCACTCAAGGACTCAGGATTTGATATCAAAGCCACCAGTGAGTTCTGAAGGATTGTAGCTGGAGCAATGACCTGACAAGATTTATTCATTCCTAATACCTTCCATTTTCTCCTATGGTCCTTTGACATCTATCATCACAGGGGTCCTTTTGTGTGACTCCGGGGGAATCCTCCAAGGTTCTCCCAGTCTTCTTACTCTGTTCCGAATGGTGCAGAGTTGTCTATGCTTCAGTGGCATGTCTGAAGCAGAGTATAGCTCTGGTGTGTCACTAAAGGTCAAGGACGGGCATCTGTGTCTGTCTTGCCTCCTCATATTGTGTGTTATACCATGCCATGCAGCCAGTCAGAGAGCAAGCATCACACAGTCCAGAGTGAGCAGGAAAAAGTATAAGGTACTCAAAAAGTAAGCAGGTTTTTCCCTAAAATTCTCATTTGTTGTAAGAAAAAGGTTTTTCTTTCCTTTTCTTTCTTTCTTTTTTTTTTTTTAATTTTTTGCTTGAGAAAGTAGGAATTTATTGCTTGATCAGGTCACATATGGAGGGCTTTAGATAAATTGTTAACTTGGTGAATTTGCTTATCAGTTACTTTTCTGTAGTAGGATACCCCAATAAAAACCAACTAAGATGGGGAGAGGGGTTTATTTTAGCTTGCCGTTTCTGAGGGGGCACAGTCGATCATGGCAAGGAAGGCATGGTGGTCAGCAAGCGGAGTGATCACATTTCCTCTGCACATAGGAAGCAGAGGGAACAGGGGGACATCAAAGCCCACCTTGAGTGATGTACTTCCTCTAGCAAGGCTCCACCTCCTAAAAGCCTCACAGCCCTCCCCAACAGCACCACCCAACTGGGAACTAAATGTTCAAATACAGGGGCATCCCTATTGGGGTGTCTCTTACATCTTTGTACGAATACATGCACTCATGTATCTATTCTGGTACACGTGACTGGCCCTCATTTCTTAAGGTGAGCAGTGACAGAGCATGGTCAGGTTTCCTGTCATCCCTGATATGCTAGGTAACATCTGTTGAAGGTGGAATAGCTTCTTCAACTAGCACATTCATTGTCTACAGAGACACAGAGCGTGCACAGTGATGGGAAGGCAATGGGCTCACCAAGCCATGAAGGGAAAGTGTAACACAAGCTCGTCACACACTGCTGATTATCCCACGGGATTCCAGAGGAGTGAGTTTTAACAGAAGACAGTGAAGGTGTGGACAGGGGACCAAGTGCTGGCCCCTGCCAAGAATGCAATTTGTGCCTCTCCCAGTTCAGGGTTCTCAATGGCGAGATCTCATTTGTCTGCCCCCCCCCCACCGTTACTGAAAAATGTTGAGTCCAACATGAAAGCAGAAGATGGATTATGACAAAGCATCCCTGAGGTCCCCGCTTCTCCTCCATCCACTTTGACTCCAAATGGTTAGGGTTCAAAGCCTGGTGCCACCATGTCAGGCATGGTTTTCAGGATCTTTAAACTTTCAATCCGAGTCATTTAGTGCTTCAGGGCGTTTTCCCTCCCTTCCCTCAACAGTATTTGCCTTTTCATTCTGATTCAACACCTTTGGAAGATACACACCACCAAGAATGGCTTTACTGATTGACCGGAGAGAGGAGAGGGACAGTAGGCAAACGGATGAAAGAGAAAACCTTGTCTCTTGCAGGCTAGTGAAGTGAAGGTGGAGATAAGTTCCCCCTGGGCCGGAGCCGGGAGAAGGTGAAGACAGAATATCACATCCATCTTCTCTTATCTGCTGTACTCAGTTCCTCTCGATTAGCTCCTAAGCTGAGAAACAGTTGCTGGAAACGAAGCGGTATGAAATGGTACTTAGAGAGCTCCTAGCAAGCCACACAGTGACTTTTGTGTTATGTCCAGCAGCTCCTAGGGCCCGGGACCTGTGTGTTTAAGTGGTCATGGATTCTGCTCCCCGATGAATGTGGCGTTTCATTTTCCGAGGGAGACTGAATAACTTTCTTCATTAGGAGTCTATATTTCAGGCCTGGTATTGAATAATTACAGGGCCGCTGAAAGCTTCCAAGAAGAGTTTACCCTCCACTACACAGCTTGGCTGGCGCTCCCATTTCAGCTACTTTAAGCTCTTGTAAACAGCGTTCGTTTTCCATTACAAGCTAGGAAATGTGACTATGTGCAACAGTGCCGGGTCCCTGGAGAGCGTCTGCTCCGTTTCCTCGCATCTCATTTGCCTTTGTGACTCTTGATGGTGAGGTTGAATAATCTCCGAAGTTCCCCGTCTTCCCATCCCATTCTGTTCCACTCACTTATAAAGCAGTGACCTGCCTGAGGACCGCTGGATCAAGCAGATGTTTCCTGAGCAAAGACAGTATGCATTTCCCCTCGTACATCATCTTGGGTGGGGGTGGGGGTGGGGGTGGGGACTGGCACTGCTCTCTCGGCTCTGACGTCATTGGGCGAGGTGGCCTGGGGGAGACTTTGAAAGCAGAGCAGCCTAGCCAGGGAAGAGCTCAGCTGGCAGCTGGATGCAGGGATTAACTGACCTAGATAATAGGGGGAAGGAATCAGCAACTTACCCTGTTCCTTCTCCCCCAGGAAGTCAACAAGCCTCCCCACTACTTCTTGAAAGCACAGTCTATGGAGACCCGCGCTGCCCCTTCCCCAGCGCACCGCACACAGTTAGGATCATTCCAATCATATGGCTGCTAGTCCTTATTCCTTGATTTCCCCTGACCTTTGTTTGAGGCTAAAGTGGGACTCAACGGACGGCAGTGAGTAGTGATGATAAGATTAAGTAGATCTGGAGATGTAGCTATGTAGGTAGACGGAGAGCTTGTTGGGGGTACAAGAAACCCTGAGTTCCAACTCCAGAAACACATAAACGTAGCGTGGTGGTGCATGACTGTAATCCCAGCACTCAGGAAGTTGAGATGAGGGGATCAGAAGTTCAAGAG